ACATAACACAAAGATTCCAGTTTCAGGTTGACAAAATTGCGAGCATTCAATATTCAATATTACTACTATTATTTATGATAACATAAACTGTTTTTCTTGAAATCATTGCTATGATAACCTCTTTAAAAGTTCTGTTTGATCACTTTGTGTGAAGCCGCTCGCTCTCCCTCTGCGTGTCTGCAAATGTTTTACTGCATTGTAGTTCTCATTTATGGTTATAATAATAATAACAAGAATAAGTGTATTTTTTACATGTTATGGCAAGGACCGTGTGGGTGTGGTCTATTTATGTGACCCCTCCCCTAACTCCTCCCACTAAGGGGAAAATAAAACACTGATATAAACTAAATACTGTCTCATTTGAAGAGCTGAGACACGTTTTGATCAAAGAATCTGATTCATAACAACCAACACAAATATTATGTATCAACCGGAGCCGGACACGGAACAGGTTTTGGTTTCTGAAAATTTTATCAGGAAGAAAGGGGAAAAAAGTCACATCAGAGAAGAGCTCGATCCGACCGCAGAGGAAGGGGAAGAATACGACTAACTTGAACGCAGCACGTCGTGCTCACACGCAGTGACAGAACGACGCGTCGGGTTACGTTGCTTCTGGCTAACAGGAAGTCAATCTTTGGAGGCTCCGCCTCGCACCGAAGCCGTCTCTGCTTGACTTTTTTCTTGCTGTTTGTGTTCCGCTCTGACAGAAACTGGACACAGCCGACGGCCACGCACATTTACAGGTTTACAAACGCAGTATGTTGATGTAAGATTTACATTTATATATTCATATATTCTTCTTTAAATATTGGTTGACGAGGCGACAGTCCTTCATCACACACAGGAAGACGCTCTCTGCTGGTTCTGGGGAGTCGGCCAGCTCGGAGACTTTAAACTTTTATTTGCGTCTGCAGAAATGGAGTCCCGAATAACTGACATATCAATAAAAAGCTGTTTTTGTCTGATTTCCTGGAGAAAGAGCGCTTGTCGATGACATTACGTAGAAGCTGCTTATTCTTTTTATTCGTGTTTTTTGAGTCGTTTGAACCCAGGGGCAGCAGGAGGGTTGACTATCAGATCGTTTCTAACTAATTCACGTCTTTCTACACGGCTGAAAGAAAACCGCGAGCAGCAGAAACTGGTTCCGTACCTCTTAATCTACAAATTTAATCGTTATCAGCCGGTTTAAAAAAAAAAAAGAATCAAGACATGAGATTGAATAAAAAGGCGTCTGGTTGGTTGGACCATCTGAACTGTCAGACCTGCAGAGGAGCATCGATCCTGAAGTGTGATCACGACTGGTGAACGAGCTGTACAAGAAAAAAGACAGAACAAGAACGAAGCAGGAAATCAATTCAAGAAGAAAGCACCACCTTTGTCTGAGAACGAGGAGGAGAAATTCGCCAATCAGACGCTAACGAACATCTACAGGTGACGGGGAAACCAGGCTGGAGGCGGGCTTTGTTCTGTAGCAGGACCAATTGATTGATTGATTGATTGATGGGCAGACCAACATGCAGTGAGGGCTGGTGGTGGTGGTGGGGGCGGGGGTGAGGTTATCTCATTTTTTGAATTTGTGAGTGTAAACTTGACTCGCGTTGTGCTCTTGGATATTTTGCGGCGAACTTTTCGAGAACACGCAGGAAGGAAAGAAACACTTTGGTTTGAGTTAAATCAAAGAGCGGTGACCGTGAAGTCCTTTAACGAGCTTCTAACTCTTAAAATGTTTCTGAAATAGGTGCAACCCGACAAACCGCAATCAGCACGTCTGAGCTCGTGCTGCTAACACACACACACACACACACACACACATACACATTCACACGCACACCGATCTTCACCGGAGAGGAGGGGGAGCATGCTGCACACACAAGGCCAGGCGGAGGCTCCACGGGAGGTTATCCCACAGCTCCGTCCTCAGACGGCATGGAGATAAGTCCTCCACAAACCAACGACACAAATGAAACGGGCTGCGCTGATGGAGGAGGTGTGGAAGCTATCGAGACGTTCGCAGGAAGCAGAGCGAATTGTTCACTTTTCAACAAAACTCTGAAATAATGGTCCGACAAACAAAACACAGAAACGTGAGAAGTAACGGTAAGTAATGTGCTAATCAATCAGGTCCGATGTTAAAGTGCACAATAAGGGGGGTGCGGGGGGTGGGGGGTACAAAAACAAACACTGTCATGCAAACTCCACAACGTTCTGCATGCCTTTAAATGATCATAATTATTACACTCAGCAGGACGAGCCGGTCCAACTCCCCGCCAACATCGTGGTCGTCTTTTTGTACAACTACAACAAGACAGGAGGGGTCCGAACACTCAGGGCGCCGATGATAAAGAGTCCCAACACTCAGGCACTCAGGGTCCAAACGTTCAGGGTCTGAACACTCAGGGATTCAGACATTCAGGGTCCCAACAACCTGTTTCCTAATTCTCAGAGTCCAATAACTCAAGGTCTGAACACACAAGTCAAAATGCTCATGGGACCAATTACTCAGGGTCCAAACGCTGAGTCTGAACGCTGAGCGCTCCATTGACTCGAGGTTTGAATGTTCGTGGGACTAAACGCTCAGAGGACCAATCACTCAGGGATTCAGACACTCACGGGTCCAAAGAGTTAGTGTTCAGAGGCTGAAGAGTCCGATCACTCGGTAGTTTTAACACTCTATGTCCGAACACTCGAAGTCCAAACCCTTGAAGGAGAGGACTTTCTTCAGTTGCTGATGTAAAAACAGAAAGGTTAATGGAAAGGCGACATGAAGATAGCTGGCGCTACGACGACATCCTCACACCTCTGATCTCCGTTTTCCACCATCGCCACCGCAGAAACCACGACGACTGGGACACAACCCAGACAATGTTCGACTGCCGAGAACACAGAGCTGGGTGAAATATGACGGAGCTGACTTCCTGATGACTGAAGCATCAAACTGACAAACACAAGAAGCGTCAGATCAGACGTGTGCAACACTTCAGCTCAACACAACCAGTGGGTTTTGTTCAGAGTTTAATAATCCCTAAATCAACTGTTTGTAAAAAAAAATTGAAATAATTTCTGAAAACAGAATTTAACAACAACAGCTGAGAAGCTGGTCTGAACCTACAGCCTGTTCAGAGAGTTTGCTGCTGGGACGAGTCATGCAGGTCAAGCTTTGGTGAAATCAGCAATTTTGGTTTTGGAAAGCCAAAGAATAAAATGATAATACAAATTTAAAAGACTCCATCCAGGAGCTACACGTTTTTGAGCATCACAGACATCTAAAGCTAACAAAGCTAACTATTACACCTCCAGGGAAAGCACAGACATTACACGACTACTTTCCTAATTCTAACAACTAAACGTTTTGCTTGAAGTGCTGAGTGGGTTCAAGGTGGTGTTTCGTTCAGCGTCGGCCTCAACAGAAGTCCGTTAACCTCCGTATCACAGAGCCTGAACACCTTCCTCCCTAAAACCCCAGCCCAGTCTCCATGAACAGGTGAACATTCAGTTTCATTTGTTCAGGTGGACACGGGCTTTTTGCTGCGACGTGTGGAATAACGTTTCAGTTAACGGTCATTTTTAGGCTTCAGCAGGGTTCTGTTGTGGAACGCATCACTTTAATTTAAGTCCTGTTCAACAGCCTGCTTCAGTTTTGAAATAAAGTTCTATAATTTAGTTTGGAAACTGACGAGACTTTTCTTGGTTTTGTCTTCGTCCACTGGTTTAGTTCATGCCAAACTTCTTGGGTTGCGTGAACGTGGATTTAATGAAGCTACAACTGTCTGCGTTTCTTTAAAATGTAACGTAACCGCTCCTTTGAGCGTATCATAAAAAAGATTCACGTTTTTGTAACTTACCAAACTTTCTACACAACCTTTCGCCCATTTTGGGGCAACGCACACATTTTGCTGCCTTTCAACAATTATCAGGTCACCAACATCAAAGTGAAACATGCTTCTACAACAAATAGTCTTGAAATGTAACACGTGTGTGTTTTGTCCCAGTCAGCGTGCATTCATAATATTTAGCTTCCAAATCAGCATCTGTTTGGTACCGAGTGCATTCTTGTGCAGGCTAAGAGCTGAATGCTAATGCTAATATTCTAATCATTTTCTATTTTAAAGTGAATTTTTTTACTTTTAATTATTAGTAAATTTGTACAGTTAAAATCCTCTTTCATTACAACATTTTACTGATTAACTAGCAGCAAGCTACTAGCCTTTTCTTGAACTTTCCACCATCTTTCCCCCACCAGCACTGGACTGGACTCACTGCTTCCACATTAAAACGACTGAAAACAGGTGATAAAAGTCCAACAAGCTTCTACACAAATACAAGCTAATGCTACAGCATGCAAAGCGGCGCCGACTAACGCTAACGCGGGAACGTGATGCGATGAAGGGGCGTTAGCGTGTCCACAAACATACATGTGTTCATGTGGAGGGATGCGTGTTCCAGCTTCCATACTGAATCCTTCTGTTTAGTTGGATGTTGTGCAGAGATGCTACATGCTAGCTTCTAAATCCATGTTTCAGTCCGTTTTTACTCTATATCTAAATGCTCAACGTTAGTCTGCAATTAAATCTCATGTATTGGCTGTTCAACTGTTAATCTTTATTTTCAGTATATTCCTTCATAAATCCACTGTGCAAAATGAACACCACTGAATAAAGAGCAGGTAGTTTTATGATTTGTTTAATAATTGGAACAAAGGAGGAAGGAGATCAAATTTTGGCACGACGCCGGCTCATTGGCCAGCTCTTAACGCTCAGCGGTGCGATTCGGGCGTAAGATCTTTTAAATGGAAGGAAACCCTGACGAGTTGAAGCGGTGAGACTGAAGCATCACAGACCTCCAACACAAACACACACAGGCGGGACTCTGTGAGGGAACACACCAGATCAAACATCGACACGATGCCAGGCTTCACAGGACGCGTCACACATGCACCACAACAGCAGCACGACAAAAAGCATCAAACGCTCCCCATCAAAAAAACGAAACATCAACCGGACCGCGCGGAGAACTCGTTCGTTAGATTTCGGCTCGTTCTTTCAGGTCTTCTCGTTAGTTTTGTCGAGGCTCTTGGTGCTTCAGCATGAATCCCCCATTCTCATTGGCTGTCTCGGTATGAGTAGGCGGGACTTCCTTTTTACTGCATAGATTAACTGTCCATCTCCTCCCACCCTCCTTTAAAGCCTCCTCCCCCCTTTCTCCTCCACCATTTACCTGTCAGTCCATCGTCACCTGGCCAGTTGAAATGTTTTCAGGAAGATCAGAGGTCCTCCTGCCCCCTGACCTTTGGTTGGACAGGTCCAACAGGACAGGGAGGCTGATGCCGCCTCGCCGACAGGACGTCAGCAAAAACATTTCAGCGTGACGGGCTCTGAGCTCAACAGGTTGACGGAGGTGAATGACGAGAGCGAGCAGCCAATGAGGGGCGACCTAAACCAACAGCGAGACGTTTCAGACGCTTCAGAACCGGCCCTCAGACTGTTCTCTTTTCTGGAAGGTTTTCTTCTGGATCTCTACGTTAAGTGTTTGTTTCCAGACATCGGCGTGAGAAGAGGAAGAACAGAACTCCCACCCAGCAGCCGTCACTGTCCTCGGGGACTCACAATAAACAAACAAACAATAGAAAGTAAGAAAAAAGCTGAAGAAACAAACAAGTAAATGTCCTAGGCTATGTTTTTACAAGTAGCTAACCCCTCTGTTGCTTCTTACGTTTAATACATTTACATCTGTAATAAATATTTGTCTCCTCTTTTTGTTTACGTTGTTTGGATAAGTCAGCTATATGTGATGTTGTGTTCTTAGTTTTTTTTTGTACCCCGCCCAAACCCGTGGTGTTCCCTCTTATCTGTGATTAGATTCTTATTTCTTCCTAGTTGATTGTTTCAAGTTTTTGTGTTGTCGTTGCTGTTTCTTCTCTGCTGGCTGTCGGTTGGTCGGCGTCGGTCGTCATGGCAGCAGACGGTGGGACATCCTAGAAGCCCAGCGTGCCGCCGATGGTCGATGCGAGGACGACGCCGAGGATGACGCAGCAGATGATGATCATGATCTTCTTCTGCAGGACGAAATGAGAAAACATGGTTGGTGGACCGCTGGTGAGGCTGCAGAAGCAACAAGTTTAGTTTTGGAGAAAGTTCTACCAACTCTCAATAACTATGTTCTCTGGAGGTAAAACTGATAAAACTCAAATTGCTGTTGTTTTTCTTTCGACTGCTCCCTTCTGCAGGGGTCACCACAGCAAGCACGACAGATTTGTTTTACACTAGATTTCCTAACTGATCCAGCCTGGGCTTACAAGACCACTGAGCTACCGTGGCCCATTTAAGGTCCAGTGATGTCCATGAAAATACATCCACGTGTTGCTTCAGTTGTACCTAAAGGCTACAGGCATGGTTTCTTATCAATGCTACCTTTCTGTATCTTTTGCTGGTACTGTTTTTGATACCTTTGAAGATACCCTGACGTAGGGTGTGAACACGTACCGTAAAGTATGTGTTCGCACCCAAGAGTCATCTGGAATGCCTTCAAATAGTCCTGTTAACTCTGAAGATAGCTGTGATGCTTGAGTGGAATTAAAGCTCAATCCCATTGCACCTTCAGGAGCAAAAATTGTTTACGGTACCTTGACTGAGCTCTTCTAGGTTCAACTTGAGGGACCAGCCAGGGTCCCTCTTTTAGGGACAGCCCCGTATCTTGATAGCTAACCGTGTAAAGTTCCATTTTTGGTTTTAGCAGGGTTCAAATATAAACTAAACACATCCTTGTGTGGGACGATTATTACAGTTTGAGCTTGTCATGAAGGCAAATCCTCCCAAATGTCTGGATTTAAAATGTTAACGGGCTAACGAAACATTTGTGTCAGCCTTTTGACGGCCAACTGGAACGAAAACAAAAGTGTAAAAGATTAGACGGAAGTTAACCTTTAAATAAGTGATTCCATAAGAACGACTCGGAGATGGGAGCGAATTTTCCTACAGATTCAAGCTTGTACCTTTTTCTGAAGTGTCCCCGACAACAGCCGAACACATTTGGTTACTCAAAAGAAAAGAAACGGAGAAAAACGTTGGCAAATAAACACGTTTTCTTTGAGTTTGCTGTGCTAGATCGATGGTACAGAGAATGTCTCAATAAGTTGGCTTTACCTTGGGTCGCGGTGACATTTAAACTTTTAAGCTCTAGTCACTCTGGGGAAACTGTATCAGCTATTGCTCATCAGATGGATAACGCGATGTTTGAAGCCTATAACTTTGAGAAAATACTGCCCAGGAGCAGAAGCAACGGTAAGAGAATTGCCAACATGTAAATGCGTGAAGATACTTTACCTTGCGAGCCTGGCTCTGGTATTTTACGGCCTTCTTGGTGTCGGAGACGGCTCGCTCCACGTAGTCCACAGAGTGCTCGACGTTATACTCGATTCTGTCAATCATCTCTCCCTGAAACACACGCGGCAGACGTTAACGTCTGGTTGGTCCGGCCTGAATCGTGCCCCGGGGCCTCCTGAGGTCACGTGACCCACCTGGCTCTCCACCAGCATGGCCATGTCGACAAACATGTCGTGGAGCTCCCGGATGCTGTTTTCCAGCTTGATGATCTCGGTGTGTCGGGTCTCGATCTCGTTCAGGGCCTGCTTGGTCATCTGAGAGTCCATTTTGATCTGCAGGACGAGTTTAGAGAAAAACACTTTAACAACAATTTTTTTTTATCTCAATGAGAAGTAAAGATTAGATTAGCAAAGGTGACTTCTGTAAAACAAACTGATTATCCATAAAAATATGTTACATTAAACAAAAAAACAGTAAACAACTTTAATTTGTTCTTCATTTTACAGAATTAATGCCTGAAATCAGCCTCTTCTGACACGAAACTAAACAAGAGTTTGAACTGGTTTTATTGTATCTGTCTCTACGGAAGAACATTGGTGCCATTTCTTTTTTCTCAATATCTCAGAATTCCGGGAAAAAGTCAGAATTTTAGGAAATAAAGTTCGAATTCTGAACAAATGTCACAATCACTGTCCTCTTCCATATCAATTCAATTTATTTATATAGTGCCAAGTTACAACAGAAGTTATCTCAGGGCACTGAACAGAATATTAACAAACATTTGTATAAAACCATTAAAACTAATTTAATCAATATTTTTTTTTGTTTATTGCTGAATCTAATTCGTTTTGTTTCTCATTTCTGAATTAAATCTGTAAAAATACTAAAAGTTGTTTTTTTAGTGTTTGTTTAAATATTTGAACAAATAACAGCCAATTATTTGTTGTATTTAAAACTCATTCTTAATAATTTCTGTTATTTTCACGTTTACCTGTCGTGTAACTTACCTGTTCTGACTAACAAACACCTGAAGCTTACCAGCTTCACTGACCTCCACTGATTGGTCCGCCCACTGTGATGTCACACATGGGCATGGCTTCAACCAGAGGTGCTCAGTTATTGTTTGTAGTCACCCATAGCTTTTCCTGCATGTGCGGAAGCTTTTAATTTGAAGGAGAAGACAATCTGAAAGGACTCCTTCAAAATAAGAGTTGCCACTGCTGGCCCCGCCCCCCCACAGTCTTGCGACAAAGGCCGTGTTCACCTGATGTTTGAGCGCGCCCCTGCACCGTTCTGAACCCCGTGTCATGGCGGTGTCACGGCGGGGATGGAGAACGGAGCAGGTAACCCATGGCAACAGGCTCAGGTGCGCTGCTTACATCATCGGTGAAGATGGCCAGTTTGCCGCTCTCCAACATGTCCTCCAGCTCCTCGTTGGTGGTGGTTCTTCCAGCTGCAGACAGAACACACAAACACTGGGTCAGAACACCGGGTCAGAACACCTGGCGGTCATGTGACAGCAGCAAGAAGCACAGCCTGTGTAGGATGTTGTGATGTGTATTGAGTTATGCTCTGTGATGTGTTGTTTGTGGTATTTTATACTTTTATATATTGTGTTGTGTATTATTGTGTTATGTGCTATTGTGTAGCTTTGTGTTGTATGTAAACGTGTGTAGTTATGTTCTGTACAGAGTTGTGTTGTGCGTAGAGTTGTGTCGTACAGAGTTGTGTTGTGCGTAGAATTGTGCACTCACTGATTTCCAGCTGTCTCTGGATGCGGTCTTTGCAGCGGTCACGGTACTTGGACTGCGTGGTGTTGTACTCAGTCATCACCTCCACAAACTTACGCGACAGCGTCGAGTGCTGCAGCAAGACAAGATGGAGAACATAAATTGGTTTAACTGATGATGGTGTAAACCGAACTTGGATTTAAACTGGTTTAACTGATGGTGGTGTAAACAGGACTGTGATTTAAACTGGTTTAACTGATGGTGGTGTAAAGAGGACTGTGATTTAAACTGGTTTAACTGATGGTGGTGTAAACAGGACTTGGATGTAAATGGTTTAACTGATGATTGTGTAAACAGGACTTGTATGTAAACTGGTTTAACTGATGATGGTGTAAACAGGACTTGTATGTAAACTGGTTTAACTGATGATAGTGTAAACAGGACTTGATGTAACCAGATTTAACTGATGATTGTGTAAACAGGACTTGCATGTAAACTGGTTTAACTGATGATAGTGTT